AATATTTCTCTCCGTTGTTGAGTCGAAATTCACCTGCAAGCCGAGAGTAATCGCTGCATCTTGGGCGAGGCGAGCAGCCGAGCTTCGGATGGGCAGCCTAGCCTTGCCCTCTTCACTCGTGGCGCGGTTGGCCCCGTCGCGACCAGCTCGAGGAGTTCCGGGACCGTGGAGTTGGGCAGGGGCCTCTCGGGCATCAAAGGCACCGCGCATCCAAGCACTATGGGACCTCTCGTCGCGCCTTCCAGCTGCATCAGGCCGCTGTAATCTCGCGGCAACGGTATGGGCAAGGGTCCGGCGACCAGTCGTACCTGATCAAACGATATTCACGAGCTCGGGAAATATTTTCAAGGATAAAAGTTTCTCGAGTATCATTCCTTTTCTTCTTTTTTCGAGGCTCACCCTTAGAGGCAGGTCCCTTCTGGCTAACTGGTGGACCCTGTAGAGGACGGCGTCGCTTCCGGTATCGAGGCTCCCGCTCTGGCAAGTCGCGTAGAACTCTCCTCGCGCGGAGAGCGGCGCGAACAGTTCGTGGCCGTGAGAATCCAAGCACTGGGCGTACTGGTCTCGCTCCGACGACCTTGAACTCTTGCCCTCCGGCGAGCTGACCACCCCGGAAACACCGCTCGACAGGACAGGCGCCCTCCGCGTGTCCTGGAAAACGGCGGCCAGCCGCAGAACCTCCCCGGCCCTCACCGTCGTTTTCGTGTAGTGGGCCCTCAGGTTCCCGTTCTCTGAAACGGAATTGATCGATCGATCATCGACAGGAGGGCAATTTTTAAATAAGTAAAGAAACGAATTGCGAACAATTTCGATCGTGGAAATTTGATAAAAATGATTGGAAAAGAGGGAGGTATAAAAGCAGATTACTATTCGCTTCTGAACTATGTCCCCTGTTCCCGCGTTATTCCAACACGTATCTCAATTCACAGTTGGCAACAAAGCACCTCATTATTCCAATTACCTGTCTCAGTTACCCACGTTATCATTAACAAAACGAGCTTCTTACCGTGCTTCCTATTCCATTACCCAGCTTAATAAATCTTTTCCAAGCAACTAATAACAGTGTTAACATTACAACCCCGGGAATTTTATCTCCTCATGAAGAATTCAGCTGGCGGCCACTTCAAACGGTTTCACGATTTTACACATTCTTATCTCTATATATCCACCTTATAATTAATTCTCTAAAAATTTTTCCACCCGATTAGCTTAAATTCCAATATTCCTTCTTCTGCAACCATTGCTTAAATATATATCCAAAAAATTGCAAATTTTACCTCTTCCTCTTTACCTCTCCCCCCGCGCAAACATCACTATATATCTCACGTACGTAGAATATATATATATATATTACGCGTATACTTTTATATAGGGGAGAGAAGTGGGCATAGAAATGGCGTTTGGCGCGGCTGTATAATCGTTACGGTGCATAATGGGACGGCGAGGGCCGGTTGCGTATCGTAAGAACCCTTGGCGGCTTTCACCGGGCCGCGTGCCTATTACGTTACGTGCCCCTCGCCTACGTTTAAACGCGCGGGCAAACCGCGCCGGCCAGTTCGCATTAACAGACACATTGACATTCGTGTCACGGCCAGTCGCTGCACCCAGGGGAATAATCCGCGCCGCTGCTTACGTGCGTGAGTGCACGCATCGTATATACCGAAGCGGGATGCGTTGTCACGTCCTAGACGAAGGGGGAGCCGCGATAGGGACAATCCTGCCTTCGACACGGCCACGTGGCCTCTGGAACAGGGATCCTGTTTCCGTGTTTTTCCACCAGATTTTTGCGCGGAAATTTTTTATAAAAATTTGTGAATCTTGGGTCGGGTCATTTTTCAGGAAATATTCGAAATTATGAAAAGGGAAATTTAATGAATTTTCGAAGAAGGGGCTCGTTTCGTAGAATTTTCGATGAAAGAAAGGGTAAAGGGGATGTTTGTTTCTGAAATATTCTCGTATAAATATAATTTCGTTTGCTTCTCGAAAGGTATGCAATATCCGTCTCGAATATGTTGAAGTTTCCCAGAGTTTAGGGGAGAAAAGGATTATACGTTGAAAATGATTATGACTGCGTCATAACACTTTTATCAATCGTTTTTTAAGCATTAAATCTACGAGCATTATCTGCCATTAAAATAATCATCCGACAGTAGAATCTTTTTCTCAGGACACCGAACCACCATTAATTCTTTACGACGTCCACTTTCTGTTTTCCTTTTAGCAAACGAAAGTGCAGAAGTTAATCACTTCATAAACGAGTCGTTTCCTCATAAATTTGCTTTTCTTCTTCATTTACCGTTGCATCACGTAATAAAGCCATTTATTCATTTTAAACAAAAGTTATAGCCTCTTTCCGTTCGATCATAGGAAACGCATAATACACGTCTAATTAATAAAACATTTTTCTACTACAAAATATTATTTTGCAAATAACTTAACATTCGATTAAAAATTCAATACGTTATATTTTCTCCTTGCATTGAAAATTTCTTCCTCTGGCATTATAAATAATAAATAAAAAATAACGTATAATACAGTTATTATTATTATTATTATTACAGATCATGTATTCTTATACAATTCATTTCGAATTCACGATATTACGATATCGAACAAACTTACCCATCTTGGAGTGTGTCAGAGTGTAGGCTCTCAGAGGTTTGGCAAGGAGAAACGCTGGGACACCAGCTCGAACCAAGGCACCCACTCTTCGATACACCCTGGCACTTCCGGTACCACTGTTGTTCGAGACAACGGAGAACCAGCCTGCAACAGGAATAAAATACATTTCAAGCTAACGTTACCCACATATACGAACGAAATCATCACGATTATTCCAGCTTGTTGAACATTTCTCTCAAATCTATAGTATAGAGAGTTACATTTTGAGCAGAATTATTTAATCTATTCGTCAGATTTAATAATAAACTTTTCATTGCATGGAATATAGATTTGCATCTGTATATAACAATTCCAAAAAAAAGAGATTTAATATCTATGAAACTGTCACTGAGACGATGTCAACAATCGATTCGCGCACAAACTTTCACGGAATGAATCAAAATTAGATCGGATGGATTGGTAATTTTCGCTTTCTCGTGGAGGGAGGGACACGCAAGCGGTGGCATCTGTGTCAGAGGCGAGGCGAGGGGCGAGGCTTGCTCGTTTCGCAGTGGCGGTTCGTTAACAAGCTCGCGTGGCTCGTTCCGAGACGTGACAAACGTTACCGTTGCTCCACTTCCAGTGGATGAAAAACCAGTATTATACTTTCGTACTGCCAAGGAATAAGAGAGAAACAACCCTTTGATAATAACATTTTGCGAGATTTTCGCGAATCACAAGACTCTCAGTTACATCGAAGATAACTTATAGATATGCAGACGTTTTAATAATACATGGGGTGCGATTTCGAAATTCGTGAAACGTTTGAAGAGGATAAAACTGTAGAGAATAATTGGTATACAAAAATGTTTTCTTAAAACACTGGAGCTATAGTGTCTATATATTTTACACATAAATGATAGCGAAGAATCATTAAATAAAATAGAGTGGATAATTCCTATCTCAAAAGACAAGATGGAATATTCAAGTTTTAAAAACATTTCATAAAAAAGTTTCTTCATATTTCGATCGACAGGAAAATATATTTAATTCTTAACAACTGATACTAGTCTAGTATCCTGAGTATCTATAAATGATATTAATTGCAATAAAAACCTTTTCGTAACGAAAAAAAAATCCAATTATTCAAATTATTTCGACGATTGATCTGGGAAAAAAATTACATTAATTGGATTATAATTTACTACGAAAAGAAAAAAAGAAAAAAATACATTTACTATAGCGGAGGGATAAAATCGTAATTAGAGGTAGCCGGTTTAAATTTATCGCGAGCCGTTAAGAATTGAACAGCCTCTTTGTCTTTGGGCAAAGAAAGGA